TTTTTTTTTGAGACAGAGCCTTCCTCTGTCACCCAGGCTGGAGTGCAGTGGCACAATCTCAGCTCACTGTAAACCTCTGCCTCCTGGGTTTAAGCAATTCTCCTGCTTTGGCCTCCCTAGTAGCTGGGAATAAAGGCACCTACCATCATTGCCGGCTAACTTCTGTATTTTAGTATAGACAAGGTTTCACCACGTTAGCCAGCCTGGTCTCAATCTCCTGACCTCCAGCAATCCACGTACCTCAGCCTCCCAAAGTGCTGGGATTACAGGCATGAGACACTGTGCCTGGCCTATTTATTTATTTTTGAGAAGGAGTCTCGCTCTGTCGCTTAGTCTCACTCTGTCTCCCGGGCTGGAGTGCAGTGGCTCGATATCAGCTTGCTGCAACCTCCACCTCCTGGCCTCAAGTGATTTTCCTGTCTCAGCCTCCCAAGTAGCTGAGATTACAGGTGCCCGCCACCACGATGGGCTAATTTTTGTATTTTTAAATTAGAGACAGGGTTTCACCATGTTGGCCAAGCTGGTCTTCAACTCCTTACCTTAGGTGATCCATCTGCCTCAGTTTCCCAGTGCCGGGATTTATAGGTGTGAGCCACAGTGCCCGACCTCAACATAATTTTATTTTTGTTATTGTCTTTTTTTTAAACATAATTTTAAATGGCCAATTTGAATTTTATTATGTATGGATGTATTGTGATTTAATCATCTTATTGGTGGTCATTTAGATAATTTTATCTTTTTACTTTAAAAAACAGCCCTTGTGTGATTGACATTCTTGGAATGCAGAGCTCGGTTCAAATCCTAACATGGGCTTTTACTAGCTTTTAACCTTAGGCAGGCTACTTGACTTCTCTGTGCTTCAATTTCTTCAACTGTAAAGCGGACATAAAGAAAACACCTACCTCATAAGGGTTGTTCTGAGGATTAAAATAGAGAATTCCTGTAAAGATCTTAAAACTGTACCTGGAATATTTTAAATGAACAATAGAAGTTTTCTATTATTAATCTTTATGAACACTCTGCTATTTCCTTACAACTTCTCTTTTTATTATTTTACATATTTTAAGAAATAGTCTGTATTTTAAAAATATTTATCATTTATTTATTTATTTTGAGATGGAATCGTGCCTTGTTGCCAGGCTGGAGTGCAGTGGCTGATCTCGGCTCACTGCAACCTCTGCCTCCCCACTTCAAGCGATTCTCCTGTCTCAGCCTCCCCAGTAGCTGGGATTACAGGGGCTCACGACCATGCCAGGCTAATTACTGCATTGGTTTCACCATGTTGGCCAGGCTGGTCTCGAATTCCTGACCTCAAGTGATCCAGCCGCCTCGGTCTCCCAAAGTGCTGGGATTACAGGCATGAGCCACCGTGCCCACCCGTTATTATTTTTGAAATGGGTGTGGGGTGTGTGTGTGTGTGTGTGTGTGTGTGTGTGTGTATGTGTGAGTGTGAGGGAACTCTATATTTTCCAGGCTGGCTTCGAACTCCTGGGCTCAAGTGTTCCTCCTGCCTCAGTCTCTGGGATAGCTGGGACTACAGGTGAGCGCCACAACGCCTGGGTAGGTTCTCTTTTTAAGAATAAGAAAATTTAGGTGACTATGCTAGCTTTTAGCAGAGGCAGGCAGAACTGGATTTATGTCGTTTAAAATTTTTCCACTCTTGCTATTACTCAGGGGTAAGCGCCCAGCAATTTGGGTAAGTTAAAAAATAAATATTTGCAGGCCGGGCGCGGTGGCTCAAGCCTGTAATCCCAGCACTTTGGGAGGCCAAGGCGGGTGGATCACGAGGTCAAGAGATCGAGACCATCCTGGTCAACATGGTGAAACCCCGTCTCTACTAAAAAACTACAAAAAATTAGCTGGGCATGGTGGCGCGTGCCTGTAATCCCAGCTACTCAGGAGGCTGAGGCAGGAGAATTGCCTGAACCCAGGAGGCGGAGGTTGCGGTGAGCCGAGATCGCGCCATTGCACTCCATCCTGGGAAACAAGAGCGAAACTCCGTCTCAAAAAATAAATAAATAAATAAATAAATAAATAAATAAATAAACATTTGCCGGAGGGTGGGTGGACTGATGGGAGTAAGATTCTTTAAATAACTCTTCTCTGCCATGATGGATCCGCAATGGATATCTAGAATAGAAAGAGTGAAATGGTTCTCACTGAGGCTTCAATCAACCAGGGAGATAATTGAGCTCCTCGGGAGTGGAGCTTACCAGACCTATGGTTTCCATGGTGACGGATCCGACTAGTACGGACTCCGGCTCTTTATATTGCGCAAGCGCACACAACTGATTTGGGTACCCCGCGCCTTTGAGTTCGAAGAGAAAGCCCCTCCTTCCTCTTCCTGCCGTTAGCCTATCGCCTTCTCCCTTTGCCGGTCGCGTGCGCGCTGCGCGCCTGTGACGTAGTTTTCGCGCGTCCGCGTCTTTTGGAGCCGCGACGCTAAACATGGCGTGTTCGTAGAAGCCGCTTTCGGCATCAGTAGGCGGCGGCGTGGGGACTGGCAGCGTGGGGCGCGGGACCAACCGACGCCACTTCGTGTTGGGAAGTGGGAGCGGGAGGGCCGGGCAATTCCCGACCGGACCAAACGGTGAGGCCCCGGCCCAAGAGCCACAGAGCGCGCGCGAGTGGAAGGGAATGAGTTGGGCACCCGAGATCCGAGAGACGAGGGAGGAACGTTGGGCTACCGGGAGATGAGGGATACCAGCAGCGAGGCAAGGGAGGCCTGTAGGCTTGGCTGTCTACGTAACCTTAAGAACCCGGAGAGCTCGGGGCTGGCCGAGGCAGCCCGGGAGTCGGCAGCATGGTAGCGGAGCAGTCAGGGTGTCTGGCGGGAGGGACTGTATGCTAGGCTGAGCAGAGCCGAGGGTGCCCATCGTGGTCACGGTTGCGGACCTGGGTGATGCATTTGCCCTTGGAGGATAGCTGGTGCAAATTTTGAGATAAAGTGGTTATCTCGAATATAAGACCGTTGTGCATTATTTACTGCGCGCACGACCTTGTTGATAATAGCAATACTATGATAGCTTTAAACATTAGGCCCTTACATGCCTTTAATGAAAAAGTGAAGGTGGTTGCCCATGTATAGAGATGAGCTTCATGGAAGAGGTATGGCGGCCAATTCTCAAGCTCAGCGACTCCTGCAGATTTATATTTGGGGGTATTTATGATTCAGCAAAACTACTTTGGCTCATTGCATTTGTCATTTTTCTTTATTATTTTGTGACATGGTGGTGAATGAGAGAAGTACTCCTACCTGAAAGTGATTTGACTAAATATCAAGGAATAGTAAATTATCTACTAGCACCAAGGTTGCAGTTGACATACCTCCTCCCCTCCATAATTGAAATGAGCTCAGTTGTGTGGAAGTGCCCTTCAGATTTTGGTGATTCTTCAGAAGGAAATAAGGAAGAGCAGTTTGCAGCCATAATGCTCCCTCCCACCCCCGTCCTTGGATAGGAATTTTCCTCCTCCATTTTCATGTTATTTCAAACTTCTCTGTTAAGTAGAGAAGCTTCATATTAAGGGCAGGGTGACTCTTCTATAGGAGACATTCATTGCATGACACCTTTTACATCTTTCATCACTGAGGAAAATTTCATTTAAATTTGGAAAAATCTTCCCTATTGGTTATGATAGGACTGGTATTTTCTCTGTTTCTGCTGTAACCTGGCCATATATTATAATCCTAGGGTAGGAGGGTGGTCTCTGCGCTAGTTCCACTTCGTAAAGCCAAGGAGAGTTTTCACTACAAACACATTTGGCTGTGGCAGTATGTTAGAGGTTTTAAACAAACATGTAAAGATTATTTGATCACTAGTAGAAAAAGGTTCAGATTTTATTGTGTTAGAATATATTTACATTTGGAATCAAACCAGAATGCAGAATGATCCTTATACGCATGTGACTATTAAAATACACTTAAGATTTTTTTCCAGAAACAATTTTTTCCCCAGTGATAAAAATATTCAAATTTTGGGTAAGGGAATGTTTGGCTAGTTGGATTTTGACCTTTGTGTTACATTTTGTACCTATGTGTGCGTATGTATTTAACCTCACTTCTAATTCAGTGTTACTGATGGTAATATTTTTTTCCTTTCTTTATCAGCTTCAAATGGGGACTGTTAATTTCAGAGCATTTAAGGAATGGCAAAACACATTTAGTGCAAATGTGAGTCTGTAGTGTCTTTGGTTTTCTGACTATCAGACTGATTGCAAATAAGTCCACAATTACAAGCTTTGCAGAGCTTAAGTTGCATCAGTGTTCATTATCCTTGCTACTCCAGTACCCAGTAAACGTTTGTTATTGAATGAACGCCTAAGTTGTGGTTAGAAATGCATGACCTGAGGCTCAGTCTAGAGCTGCTGAATCAAAATCTGCATTTTTCACAAGATACCTAGATTAAAGGAATGTTCAGTAAATCTTGAGATGCACTATTTTGGTTGGTAACAGTTGAACACTGAGGTAATGCACAAAGCTGTATGAAAATTTATAGCATCATTTACTTTAATCTGAGGTAATCTTATGCTGATTATCCAGTCTGATGAAACTGAGGCCTGGAAAGGTAAGTGACTTGCATAAGGTCATACTCTAGATTTATAACTCAGGTTCTGACTCATTCCAGTGCTTTTTCTTTTGCTGGTTACTGTCAGAGCTTGTTATATTAAAAATGGACTAACATTCATGAATGACAGGTGTTCATTCAATAACAAATGTCTACCAGGTACTGGACAGACAGCCCAACAATTCTGTGTGTCCCTGCTTACTGTACCTGTTTATCATGGTGGCATTAATCCACCACCTACCCTCCTTTTTTCTCCCCACCTCGAGGTGGAATTTCACTCTTGTTGCTCAGGCTGGAGTGCAATGGCATGATCTTGGCTCACCACCTCATCACAACTTCTACCTCCCAGGTTCAAGAGATTCTCCTGCCTCAGCTTCCCGAGTAGCTACGATTACAGGCTACCACCACGCCCTGCTAATTTTTTGTATTTTTAGTAGAGATCGGGTTTCTCCATGTTGGTCAGGCTGGTCTTGAACTCTCCACCTCAGGTGATCTGCCTGCCTCGGCCTCCCAAAGTGCTGGGATTATGGGTGTGAGCCACCGCACCTGGCCAACCACCTTCCCTCTTTATTTTGTTGTTGTTGTTATTGTTTGAGACAGGGTCTCGCTGTACTTTTGTTGTTGTTGTTGTTGTTGTTGTTTTTTGAGATGGGGTCTTGCTGTCACCCATGCTGCAGTTGCAGTGGTGCGACTTCTGCTCACTACAAGCTCTGCCTCTGGGGTTCAAGCGATTCTCCTCCTGCCTCAGCCTCCTGAATAGCTGGGATTACAGGTGCCTGCCACCACACTTGGCTGATTTATATATTTTTAGTGAGACAGGGTTTCACCACATTGGCCAGGCTGGTCTCAAACTCCTGACCTTGTGATCCACCTGCCTCAGCCTCCCAAATTCCTGGGCCCAGTGGTGTACTTCAACCCTCCTTGGTTATTTTTTTTAATGTTTTGTAGAGACAGGGTTTCACCATTTCAGCCAGACTGGTCTTGAACTCCTGACCTCAGGTTAGCCATCTACCTTGGCCTCCCAAAGTGATGGAATAACAGGCCCCCTTTTTACTCTTTTTTTTTTTTTCCAGATGGAGTTTCCCTCGTGTTGCCCAGGCTGGAGTGCAATGGCGCGATCTAGGCTCACTGCAACCTCTGCCTCCTGGGTTCAAATGATTCTCCTGCCTCAGCCTCCTGAGTAGCTGGGATTATAGGCATGTGGCACCATGCCTGGCTAATTTTGTATTTTTAGTAGAGATGGGGTTTCTGGAGGGTGGAAGTCCAAGATCAAGGTTCAGATAAGATTGATTTCCTGTAAGACCTCCATCCTTGGCTTGCAGATGGCCACCTTCTTGCTGCCTCTTCTCGTGGTCATCCCTGTGTGTACATGCATCGCTACTGTCTCTTTTTCTTTCTTTCTTTTTTTTCCCCCCGCTCTTGTCTCCTAGACTGGAGTGCAGTGATGTGCTCTTGGCTCTTGCCTCAGCCTCTCAAGTAGCTGGGATTATATGCATATGCCACCATGCCTAGCTAATTTTGTATTTTTAGTAGAGATGGGGTTTCTCCATGTTGATCAGGCTGGTCTCCAACTCTGGACCTGAGATGAGGTCTCCCAAAGTGCTAGGATTACAGGCGTAAGCTACGACTGCTCCCGACCTTCAACTATTTACTTATCAAATTTTTTTTCAATTCTTTACTCCTGACTTTAGGCCTAGGCCTCCCAAAGTGCTGGGATTACAGGCGTGAGCCACTGCGCCCGGCCTTCCACTGTTTATTTATTTATCAAATCTTGTTTCAATTTTCATCTACTTCTTTTTCCTTACTGCTACTACACTGGCTCAGATTATCATTTATCATCTGGACTTTTGTGTAAACCTTGTAAATTGACTCTTTGTTTCCAAGCATGCAAACCATTCCTCTCCACCCTGCCTTTTACTCAAGACAGATTGTGTTGGTGTTCTGCAGTCCTTTCGTGAACACCTTCAGATCAAAATCCAAAGTATGTAGTTTTGGGACTAAGGACCTTAGTCCCGGTGCAGTGGCTCACACCTGTAATTGCAGCGCTTTGGGAGGCCAAGGCTGGCAGATCACTTGAGGTTAGGAGTTTGAGACAAGCCTGGCCAACATGGAGAAACCCCATCTCTACTAAAAACACAAAAATTAGCTGGGTATGGTGATGCGTGTCTGTAATCCCAGCTACTCAGGAGGCTGAGGCAGGAGAATTGCCTGAACCCAGGAGGCGGAAGTTGCAAGTGAGCCAAGATCATGCTATTGCACTCCATCCTGGGACACAAGAATGAAACTCTGTCTCGGGAAAAAAAAAATAAGGACCTTAATGATTTGGACGTTGCCCACTTTTTGTTTTCACCTTCTGTTCACATTCTGGACCACTTCCCTCACGTTCTTGTGTTGTGGCAAACTATTTACAATTTCTCAAGAGTGTTAGGTTGTCTTTAAAAGTTCAGGCCTTTATATGCCTAGAATATACCCATCACCTGTTTGACAGACACCCTATAACATGCATTCAGTTGGGTAACTCCTACTCAACTTATGGGACTTACTTCAAACACTACCCTCTTCCCCTCTGGGAAGCCTCATTCTCTATCTCTTTAAAAGACATAAGAGACAATCTTGCTATGTTGCTCAGGCTGATCTCAAATTTCTGGCCTCAAGTGATCCTTCTGCATCAGCGTCCCAAGTAGCTGAGATTACAGGCATGCACTACTGCACCTGGATGGAAGCCCCAGTCTTTCTAGAGTGAGTTAGGTTCTCCTCTTAACCGTCCTCCGCGGTAGTTTATCATAGCCTTTATACTATATTATAATTGCTGTTTGTGTTTTTTCCTCTTTAGACTTGATTGAAAGACTCACTTACTTTTTGTCTGTCAGAGTAGTGTGACCAGTAGAGGCTGCTTCATTATTGAATACTGTGAGTGCAAGTTGAATTACTAGGGGCTGAAAAGAAGGTGGAATGTTACATACTTGAGGTTAGACCAGGTAGGATTGAAAAAGCAAAGATTTGAGTACCTTTTGTGGCTTTACAC